AGGGACACCGCGACAGCTTGCACCAATTACTGCGGGCCCAGTAATTGGCGCAACTGGGCTCGAAATTAACGTCTCCCAACCCTGCAGGAGACGGGGCCTACGGTTTATTCGTCCTTGTCCGAGAAAACTAGAATATCTATCCATTTCTTGATATTATAGAAAGGTGGCAAATTCTCCTCGGTTATTTTAAGACCATGAGTATTGGTCCGGCCGGGACTCGAACCCTCGACCTCCCGCACAACATAATCCTGCGCTCTAACCAATTGAGCTAACCGGGAGGCGGTTAAAGTGCTGACAAGGAGAATTTGTTTTAACAATCAAGAGCTTCTGTAAACGGTGATCATTTTCTTTATTCCCATGACCTTACTGTTTGATTCAGGGGTGATTTTGTACGGAGAAATGAAATGTTGGTCGCTCCAGTACCGTCACGCCTCCTGAACAAGCAGTTAGCGGACTGTAAACCAAGCTTGAAAAGCTTTCTATATCATCCTGATCTCCCACCACTGCTGACGTTGTTAATGCAATTCAGATAGCTCAGTATCAAAAGCAACGTTTTTTGCCAACGTGTGTATCTATGTTCAAATCGTTCAATAAAAAGTGCAGGGCGTGAAAAAGCTTAACCTCAAAAAAAAAAAAAAGAAACGTGACACGAAAAACACATTCTGGTTTGAGACGTTGACAGAGTAACAGTGGCTGTTGAACTCACAACTTTAAATTAAACACAATCTTTCCACAAAGGATACAGAGCAAAAAAGATGACGAGACAGTTCCATACAAGCGCCAGATTGAGTTCTTGAGTATAGATTTCAGGAAGAAAGAAAGCAAAGATTTCAACAAGGACGTTAATAACAGCGGCGCAGAAGGAGAAATCGACCAACCATTTGTAATCTGTGTAAAGGAACTGCGGTAACAAGTCGATCTCTTCAATCTGGAAACAAAAGTCAAAAGGAATGAATTAGAAATTTGTCTTTATAAAATATATTTTTTTTGCCTCTCCTAAGAGCCGCAGACAAAACAAAAGAACTTGTCCGTCGGAGCATAAGGCGAGCATTAGTTGTTAATACAACCGGCCTCTGCGATGGAACGGTGGGGCGAATGGTATTCCATGGCATACCCTCCCTCCCCTCCCCCCCTCTTCTCCACCCCGAACTACTAACTTAGTTTTACTGAAAGTTTGCTAGTGTTTACTTAATTACTTGTTGCTCTAGGGTAGTGACAGGCACTGCGAGCGTTACGGCACTACACGACGGTAGTCCTGAGTGTCAGTTAAGTCTCACTCATTTTAGCCATGGCTTCAAGAACACAGCATTATTTTTAAACGTACCGTGGCCTTGTCTAGATGGACACCAATGTTGCACGGGACGGTGAAAGTCTTAACCTCATCGTTGTTACTCGCAGCAGCTGCTGAATTACTCTGTCTCTTTCTGTACCACATGGAAAACAGAGAAGAAAAGATATGACATCGGTAAAATTATCCAACCTCCAAAAAAGACAAAAGCAGATTGAAAGTACCCATATCAGCAATGAGAAAACCTTTAAGTTTTCTAATGAGAATTTCATTGAATTTAAACTCATTCTCCTTTCAACCCTAAAATGTAAAAGGTCATCCCGCTACCCATGGCCCAAACATTTCATTACTAGCTATTTCAGTTGCTACCAGGCCGTTTAGTATGTATCCAAACAATCTCCCTCCGATGTTAATTTTCTTAATTCTCAAAAACCTGTCGGGGTGACAGAGTACACAAATAAAAGTAGAATTGTAGAATTTTTACTTTTATTGTTACTCTCAAACGAATTGCATTGACCAATAGGTTATTTGTCACACCTGGATACTCTACATGAATGGCTCATACACTTCAATGCAAAATTCTGCCCATATAATCTCATTCCTTTCTAATGAGTTAATATTTTGACTCGAAAAGTGATTAGCATCAAGTTTCTTCTTACAACATCATCCCAGAATCGTACATTAAGATCACAAGAATAAAGGAAGTGATCACCACCGGAGATTTTAATTAACATTGTGATAGCTATTGGGAACAACTTGAACACACACCTTGCCTCTGTTGGTGCTGTTTTTCTTCCTTTACCCTTGCCTGCAGCTGCAGAGTTCTTTCCTATCAATTCTTTTAGTTCTTCATCAGTTGGATGCAGGTATCGAATGAGGCTATCAGTAAAAATTGCAAGACAATATCATAATTAGTAAAGCACCTCCTCATAGATGAGAACCCAGGCATAATTCTGCGTGAATTGTTGCATTGCATATTTATGGTTTCTTAAATTTCAACTTTATTGGAAGAAACATTCAAGATTGTCAGTAATGACTGCAGTCTTTGCGCATAGATGTAGAAAGACTGCAAACACCATTACTCAGACAAAGTAATACAGTATGCTCGCATATTTACTGGATGTCAGGAGAAGCACAGGCTGTATACAATAATTATTTATAGTTTCGACTGTAAATGTTCTGGTAAACTGCAGGTTATAAAGTTCTGGATTTTTAGAGAAGTTCTTACAACAAACAATTGGCATGGCTTACTGATCATTGCAAAGAATCCAACGTCCAAGGGAAATGAACGGAGAGAACTTCTGTAGCAAGGTTGCCATAACAACACTCAACACAAACTGAACCCCAAACAATGCCTGAAACACAAAAAGCAACAGCACATTATGTCTATAGAATGGGATCAGTTTTCCAGGCTCAATACTTGTGTACATGAATAACACATTGATGATATGTGTTTGGTAAGGATATATGTTCTTTGCCTTGTGCAATGTCAAATTTAATCATAACCCAGTGACAGTGACTGTACTGATGATTATGCATAGTTTCAGAGCACCTAAGATCTTTATAGACAATATTCAAACAATTACCTACAGAAAAAAACTTAAGCCAAAAACTATGTGAAGAAATGTTTGAGAACAATCAATGAATCAACCAGACTTCTATTTAACATGGATAAACACATTTAATTATTACATGTACAAATTGGACTACTCTACAAAACAAATAATTACAAACACTGATTGCTAAAAGCCAAGTTCCATTTAAAAACTAATTAGTGCATGATAAAATTACAGACTCAATCATCCGTCCCACTGTGGTTAAAAATCCAAATATATCTCTGAAAAGTTTTAAGCCAAAACATACTCTCTGGGCGTGACAAGTATGGACTCATATAGTATTTGTTACCAGATATTTCAATACCAGACTTCCAGAACCTTTAAGGTGTGTAGAATTCCTTCTTGTAACTCACAGGATTTTTCAACCAGTTAGTAGCATCTCTTATCACAAAATCATATATATTTTATACATTTCATAGATATTTCAGAATTTTAGAAAAGGTATTTCTAAGTCACAGATAGAGTTCATTAGGTAAAATATCATCACCTTCAGAGTTAGTTTCATGGCCAAAAATTTGTAAACAAATTTAGCAATTCCCAACACAGATTTTATGAATATTTTGGATATATCAACAAAGTTGAAATGGTAAATTAGCCACCGTAATGATTACAAAAGCTGACGTTTCGAGCGTTAGCCCTTCGCTCCGACGAAGGGCTAACGCTCGAAACGTCAGCTTTTGTAATCATTACGGTGGCTAATTTACCATTTCAACTTTGTTGATATATCCAAATTATTTCGTTACTCCCACCGACGCAGCCCCAAACAGTTTCTTTCGAAACTATCAGCCTTTATTCATTTGTATTTTGATGACTACTAACTTTTGGCTAAGCAACACAGACTGATATTGTTTTACGTTACGTGAGAGAAAATAACTGCCAATGAGGCTAGAATAAAAACTAACATCTACCTGCCATAGGAGGTCCCACTGTCATTGGAATCGCCACGATGCCATACAAAGTCCCAACGGCTTTTGCCATCATCTGTCGGCCCACGATGTCATGGGTAACAAGACCGATCATCACACAAAGGCACCCATCAAAGAGCCCCGACACCATGGAGTAGGTGAGAAGGGCTGTGTGGGACTGGGCCNTAACCGCCTCCCGGTTAGCTCAATTGGTTAGAGCGCCGGATTGTGTTGTGCGGGAGGTCGAGGGTTCGAGCCCCGGCCGGACCGATACTCATGGTCTTAAAATAAGTGAGGAGAATTTGCTACCTTTCTATAATCAAGAAATGGATAGATATTCTAGTCTTCTCGGATAAGGACGAATAAACCGTAGGCCCCGTCTCCTGCAGGGTTAGGGGTAGGAGACGTTAATTTCCCACGCACGAGATTACTGTGTCGTGGATGTCCTCCCCTGGGGTGGGATGGGTGGAAATTGGCCCTGAAAAGCCCCCATGGGGAGTGGTCAACTAACGTATGTACGTATGTATGATTCCCTTGTTTAAGGGTGTGAGGCATGTCAGATGTTACTCAATATCAGGTCAAAATATAATGGCTAAATATTGACCAATTTTGTTTTATGCCTTTTTTGCTTAAATAGTGTGGATCCAAAAAGATTCATCATTATTCCAAAAGTGCATCCCTGTGACAAAGGGATCTTTACTTAAAACAAGCTGTGAATGAAGAATTTAAGGAACAGGCTAAACTGATCGCATCCAGGCGGCTAAGATTTTGACAAAAGTGATCATATGATAAAATTAAAAATATAAAATTATCACATGTTATGGTGATTCAGGTGAACAGTTTTGTCTTTGCAACATTCGTGCAAGTCAAGGTACAGGAAAAAGTGTAGTTCACATATAAATGTTGTGGTACAATTTTTTAAACCAGTTTGATATTGCATTTCCCTCTGTCTTGAGTTCATTGTCATGATCTGAAACAAGGGATAATTAAAATCAAACTGGTCTAAAAAAAATTTAACTAAAGAAAACTATTTAACCACAGGAAACTATATATCCGCGCAGCTGATCATTTTGAATTCGCTAGAGCGATCTGGGTAAAAATAATTATTAAAAGCAAAGTAGAAAAAAATCAACGAGAAAATGAAAACCACAGAAACTCCCTGAATTCGAATGCAAAAATATCGGTGCCATATATTACATCGACCAACGTAAATATCTCGTATCGCATGGTACCGTTTTCATGATTGAAGTTAAAAAGCTTGATACATTAATAGGAATTAAAAATATACTGAAAAAAAATATCTGGTGGTTATAACAAAATGAAACGAAATACCTCCACAGAAAGATCGAGGAATGGAAAGTATCAATTAAATTAAATTTTGGAACTCTTGAGTTTTGCACGCTATTATGATCGACCATTTCCTGACATAAAGAATAACATTTCCTGTTTTAAGATTATAATGAACTTATGAACTCACCATCCTGACTCTTTCTTTTACTACTCACTAGGTTCTTTTAGTTAAACTTGACAATCTTTTCGTGGTAAAAATGTTGGCTGAATGATCATCTCGCACGCCATTGAGATTAACAACAAGGCGTTCCTTGTACGTGTAGGCACTGGGAACTAATTAGAGTAATTGCTTAAAGGTAGGTCCGCTGGACGTGCGCAATGAATCGATGGAATAATGAATATGAGGCCGTTTGATCGGAACGTGCCATGATGCCGTGATAATTCAAATGTATAGTCTTTGGCGTCAGGGATAAGGTGTAACTAGAAGCAGGGGTACTGCACAACTCCAATTCCATGAGACAATGTGACTTCCGGTTCCGGTGCACCCCAGACCCGGGCTCAGACCGTTTCAGACGCCACTCAGTGATTTACAGGGAACTACAAATGCTACTACTTGAATTAAAACTTAAAACATCGAATAACGTCACCAAGTGCTTGGGAGTAGAGATGAACAATGATCAAATTGTAGCATCAAAAATGATCCGATAGTTATCAAAATATGTGAATCATGCTAGCATTGCTACTTGGCAGAATTTACGCCAGTTTGCTCAAATTATGCCAAAAATTATGCTAGCATAATCTATAAAGGCCTACTCGTAGGGAATTTGAGCCCATGACCTTTGTGACACCAGTGCAGTGCTCTACCAACTGAGCTAACTAGCCAACTGGGAGCTGGTCATTATGTTGGTTCGTCAGTAGTAAACCCGTCGAAGGGATATAAATCAATGAATGTTGATTTATGAAATGAAATGAAAATCCATGAGACTAGCTACGGATCAGTCAAACGATTCACAAGGAGCCAGTTTTTTTCTTTTCGGCTGCTGGAGGTATATTACACATAGCTAACCACCTCTGGAATGCCCAGTCAGTGCGTACGAAAAGCGCTATTCTCTTGTGTGATAGTAACATTAACATTCTATTTTTCACATTATACACGACGTACTGCAATCAATCCTGAGAAGTTCAGCCGCAGTAAAATTGCCACGACGTACACGTTAGATTCTCAGGAGAATTAATGATACGTCTGAGTGTAGTGCGTGTACGTCCTGAAACGTCAGCTTGAATATCAGTTGCTGTTGGTAACGAACAGTCCCTTTTCGACGAAGTCCGTCGCGCGAGTTATAAAAAAAAATTAGAGAAGAAAAAAATTGCTGTAAAAGCGCCGCCTTTATGGACCCTACTTTATGCTCGCTTCATCCACTCCCAGAGTTCTGCGCGGCGCGCTAACATTAATTTTTTTTCACTGCTTTTTTTTAACTCGCGCAACGCCCTTCACTGAAAAGGAGGACTACTTGGAATCTACATGCAGTTGCTAAAACTGCTAAAATGTTTTCATTGGTAAAGATCCCGACGCTTTCAGGATAACACGGGTTTTTAGTCCAGTGTTGAAGGTGGCGTCGGGTCACCTCCAGTGAGACTCGAACGATTTCTTTGTCACATGTTTTTTAATAAAGTCCCAATCGTTTGGGCTAACTGAGTTTTTATTTAGTCAAGTTTTTATTTAGTCGCAATATGTAAAGACGAAAATAAAAACTGCCAATAAACTAGAATACCATCGTTTTCATCTTAATTTTACCGGCTTTCCTTAGTAACCAATCATCTTGATTAAGCGGGTTTGATCCCATATATATTCTTTGAGGACCGCAAAGATGTATTTTTAATGAAGCAGATGGCTGGATCACGTTTTATGCGAGCTTCAGTCTTCCAGAGACTGAGTCGATCATATTTCAATATGTATTTTAGTGCAAGCTAGCAAATTACTGATTTTGTAGTCACGGGGGGCTTTCAAACCTGCAAATAAAAGTTTACTGTCATCTAATTATGTAAAAGATTTTATTACCTATGTAATACCAATACATTCAAATCATTTGCCTCAAATCGCCTATAAGAGGAAACGTTTTTCATCTGCTTAATGGGTTTTATGATATTATCCTGCCGTGCAGTATTTTAAATTCAGGATAACTTCTTCATCAAACTGGACGCAGTCGCTCGATTGGAAAGCTTATCATCAAGTTCGATGCATTGAATTTTAAAAGTACCCCCCAAGTTACTGAGAAATTCATGGTAAATTTTTATAAGAACACAGATGTATTGCGAGGCAAGGTATGTTTTTATTCTAAGTTAGTAAATAACTCGGCTGATCCTTTCTTTTACAGCATAACCCGTAACCAATAAAAGAAAATCCAAAAATTTTAATTTTCAAAAAGAAAATCCGAAAATTCACTTTTTCAAAAATTTCTCTAAGGTTTTAAATTTACTGATTCCAAGATCATTGAAACTTTCCTGACCTCTTCAGGCACTTGTATCAGTAAATCAAACCATCAATGATGAAACTATACACTTGTGGTTGTTTGGATAAAAAAATAAAAATACATCCGAAGATTATTCTGATCAGCATAAAACTGCAACGAAAATATTTCGTATCTGAAGTACCCACAACTTTTCTGTAAATGTGCAGTGTTATCATTTGCGATGTCAGTTTAGGTTAATCGACCGTACACTCTCGTTTTTAGCTTCGGATTTTCATTTGCGTCCACAATTCAAAGGTTGCTTTCAAATCAGATCATGATTTTTTATCGAAATTGATACGTACGTACGTACGTAATCTACCTATACTTTGCCAAGGAACACAAGTTAGAGTGGATTCAAGGACTCATCACGATGTTGTATTTATGATCAGAGTAAAGAATATTCTATTAACGTTTTCAGCGACAGTATTAGAGATTTTAGCGAAGCGACTTTCTTGCCAAATGATACTGTAAGTATTTTTCTTCATTTAGTGGTTTCTTGACTCGAAAGTGTTCGAAATTACGATCATATCAATTAAGGTTCGACAGCTGAAAAAATGACTCTTCCAGCTTTTATTCAAACGTAAAATGCGCCTTTATTTATTATTATGACTATACATGATTTGGTGTTCCGAAAGTATCAGAAATTTTGATGAAGCGACTTTCTTGCCAAATAATTTTTTAACAATCTTCTTAATTCAGTGATTTATTGAACCGAAATTTTAAATTTCTTAACTACGACCATATTAATTTAGTTTCAAAAGATGAAAACCTACAATTCTACAGTACAGTATTCTAGCTTTAAATCGAACAAGCGCCTTAACTTGATTTTAAATTCTACATATCGTGTTCATTCTGAAACTCAGTAATGCAAATGATTAGAAGCACATTTCCATACTTCTAATTGCACTATGCTCAGTCAAAGACGAATGCCAAAGGGAAACATGAAAAATGGTTAAAGAAGAAACACCACATTCTCAAGATTCGGTACCAGCTCTCTCATTCTCATTCATGTTAGTTACACCATCCCTCTTATCTCTACTGGCGGAGTTGAAAAGTAAAGAGTTTGTTCTTATCTTAGGATAATTAAAAATCATATATGCCCAGTAAGTTTCCACTGGCTTTCTTAATTCTTAATTTTACCGTTTGTATTCCATCGTCTTTGACAACGTTATTGTAAATTTTGTATTGAAATTTTCCTGCGACCAATTCTTTTTAGTCCTTTTTACAGTTCCCGGCGCCATATTGAATGTGTAACCGCGCAAACATGATAGCGAGGTTAGTGTTGAGTCGCGTTGCGAGTTCTAGTGAGAGTTTAGTGAAATGTGGTGGTGCTCTGTCCTTTTCATCGAGATATTTCGACAATGAACGATACTTTCCCTACGCAGGATATTCCTCCTTCTTCTTCGAAAAGAAGAGGAAGACACTGTGCCGCTTTTTGGTTGTGCTAATAGCTATTATGACACA